TATATTTAGTTTAGGCGAAGAACTGGCCTCTGAATTTGGTCAAGGTAGTCACTTTTAACGGTAATTGTTCATTAACAGAGTAGGTACAGTCTGTAAGCTCCGGCTTTTATAGGTTATCCAGATATGATGCGCTTTTGTCCAAAATTCCCGGATCAGAGGGATCTAAAGCCGTTAATATTCCTCTCTGAAGCCGATTACATGAGACTGGAGGAAATTGGATGGCGAAATCGGGAATTATGGCTATAATGATACCTGGAATTTTATATAGGTTCAGATGTTAGAAATCGTCTGGTGTCTGACACGCAGATGAACGATCCATCTATTCTGCCTGAAGTCCATGAACTCAACGGTTTCATCCAAATCAATAGAAGTATTATTACTCCTCCAAGAGCCATGTATTATGTGTGTGAGAATCACTTCCCAGGGCATTGACAACAACGGATGTTAACAACAATCCGCATATCTGAAAGCTTGGCAAGTTTCCATTTTTTGTGTTCCAGCGAATGGATTCATCCGTCACTGTTGGCAGATACACGGAAATGCCTGAGACTAATATCCTGTGTACCACCCTGTCCAATGAAGCACCTAGCATCTACGTTCAAAACAGCTTATTATGCGCCTTTTTTCTCATTGGAGAGCATGCCTGGGGGGGGGGGTGTAAAAATGTGATTTTCCAGAGGATAGAACTCATAGACGGCCCCAAACTTGATTCACTTCCAGAGATGAGCCACGTCGCTGAAACTGTGAACGTCTTCCTCGATCCTTCGAATCCCTGAAGCAAAATCCGTAAAGGTCACTCGGAAGGAAAACCCGCATGGTCTGCAATGCCAACATTGCCCCTGGATACACAGCAAGAGGAGCAAGAGGTTTCTGATTGATCCGCTCTACCCTTGCGTTCGGTCTTTGATTTTTCGGGGTTTGTTTTAGAAAAGGAAGGAAAGAAGCCGCACCAAGGCTTCGCCTCGCGAGAAACTTTGCCTTGAGAGAAACATTGCCCTGAGAGAAACATCCATCTGCATCAACCTGCTTCCCAATTGCTTTGGGGCAACTTCAATGTCGAATCAAATAGCATCGCTTGCAGACAAACAGCACTGTATATTGACCAACAATGCCTGACGGTCTATCCTGCTTCTGAAGAATGAATGGGAGGGTATCGTTTGCATTAAATCCTGGTCTTGTGTATATTTATTTGCTCAGTTCCCCATTGGCACAGTAAAAGGGAAAATATAAATTCACGAAAAGTTCTTCCAGAGACCAGATTGCGTGCAACGAACCGATACTGAGATTGCCGACAGTAATCCCTTTGTAGGCGTATATCCCTTGCCTGGGTCACATGTACATGTTCCCTTAATACCGGAAGAATGAGGAAGAATAATGATATATGCCCAGTGCGGATCCTGTATCACGAAAGGCCCTCATCCATCCTTCCCATGACCCATTCTCACCTTTCCAATGTTCCGCTCACGTGTTGTCCATCATCATTCAGGATATTTGGCAAGCAAACAAGACAATGAGGGACCGAGTGAATGTGAAACCTGAAACCGACATTCTCTTAAAAACTAAACGATCTCCATTATTATTCTCTTGGGGCATGTGGATTCAGAGATCATACTTCGGAGAGAATTCTGCCGAAATTTGACTCCTTTTAGTCCGCTTGAGAGAAAAGGCAGGCTCGAAGAGGGTGTAAATCATATACAAAAAGGCAGTGCTGGGAAATTGAGAAGGGAAGGGATTTGAATCCACGAGAGGCAGGAACTTCGTTGTCATGCATGAGACTATTCGGTGAAGAAGAGAGGAATCATTCCCTCAAGATTCGATTTGCTTCCATTATCCCCTCCACCGGATTTTCTCTTCACGTATCGAGTATTATATTACCCTTTCTCTCCCCTGAAACCTCTCTCACAACTCCTTCTCTCCACAGCTTCCACATAGCCAAATCTCGTGTTTGATCAATGAGACGTAGGCCACAAGGTAAGACGGAATATGGTTTGTCATATTGGTCGATAGCACCGCTTCCTGTGCTTAACTGTGCTTCCATGCGAGATGGGACGAAGAAGAAACCACTTATTTATGCCATGCTATATGAGCAATGGAAAATATGAAATAGGTGTAAGATTTAAAAATATATAACAAATAATAGCATCTACGATAAATTATGGCTTTGAGTTCTTCATGCCTCAACTACTCCATGGATGAAAGCTTTTAAATTAACTTCTTAGCCCTCCACCATCTTCTGCGTCGTAAGTAGACATGAATATCAAGTATGTTTGGCATTATTATGATCGATAACGTGCGTTCATGCAGAGACGAATTCAGCACCAAATTCCTCTCTCAGAGGAGCAGGCAAATCTCATTAGTCTTCGAGCCTTCCTTCTCAATACTGAGTTCAGAACCATCCTAGTCGTGTCGGCTGGCCCTCTGTCAAGAACTTACGAGGAAGACTAACACAAACAACCGTGCTTTTTTAAGATGTTATCTTCTCTTCCATGCGCATAAGGAATTGGATCGCGATGGAGCATGATGTGATACTTAAAGAGCGCCCCGAGTAAACAGCCCTCCATTCCTTCGATTTTTCCTCCCCGTGTTTTTCTGAGCATTAGCTCTGAGACACTTCCAAGATCATTGAAAGAAAGTGGCAAATGATTGAATGAATTGAGGTAGGTGAAAGGAAAAAAGATGAATGATAATGGATATAACACTGTACTAACAGTTAACAGACATCATTTCGTCCCCGAACCGTTTTTCGCATGAGTTCACAGAAGGAACACTAATTGCACATCCCAGAAACGCATTTACTAAGCCAATTCCAATGAAATTCGCGTCCTGATGGGGTACTACATGATATCCTTCAACCTCTCCTAGAGCCAAGGAAGGAAACGTCCCAGTCTGACAATATGAATGACAGCTACATACAAATATATTAACGTTGACCAGCTCACCCTTCTTTTCTCGTTGGTTGTATTTGTATCGTGACAAGAAAAGAATTCATCTGTTGAAATCAGTACATTCACTGCTGCCGATTGGCGGACTGGGAGGAGAAAAAGCTAGGCTCTCTCCAGTTCCGACTCTTTGAACTTTCCCGACAGACATTAGGAGAAATCTTAAGGAGGATATAGGGTTCAATAGGCAAACATGGAAGTTTCAACGCTTTAAAAACGAAAAGGATTCTTTTGAGAAGAAAAGTATAGCAAGGATCAGCATAACGGATCTGTTCTTACCCTCTGAATCTTGCAAGTTCGAAATCCATATTTTAGCTCCCGAAACAGTAGCACCAAGTACAACATAATGTCGCTAATTTCATGACTGCTGTCCTTGGAATCGGCTTCAGAAAATGTAATTTGTACTTCCTTTTAGCATTTGACATTATACTTATACCTCTTCATGAGTCTTGAAAGGCCTTACAGTAGAGTGGTGGATGATTGAGGACGAACCGGAGCTGTTTACCTTTCCTCTTCATGAAAAATAACTACATCTGGAGAGTACAACATCGACATTCGATCGAAAATGAATTTCTTAAAGAATAATAATTCTCTCGACCCCCTGATAGAAGCCGATGAAGCCTCCCATGTAAAAGAAACTCTGCTGCCAAGTCGTTCTTTTCCTCCCAAGATGCCAATCCGTCGAGGCTGAAGCGAGACAATTGACAGGCGGAAAGACGGAGGAATGAATGCATAAAGGGAGGTAGTCCTTCAGAGATATTCCCTTCCTCTTTTTAATTCTTCTTCCCCTCTCTTCTCTGTCTGTCTTCGGAGAAGACGATGTCTCTCTTCTCCCTTGATGAAAATCCTCCGAGCCTCCGCGTCCTGTAAGTCCCCTCTACCCTTTCCCTCACTCACTCGCCTTTGTTTCTTGTTTTTCCCTTGGGATATGTCCTGATTAGCCCCATGACTCTGTTATAGATTTTCTCCTTCCTTCGTACCACCTCGAGCTCATCATGCTAAGACTCCCCCGTTCCTTGATTTGCATAAGTGAGAAAAGACCCGGTTCTCGGCCCTACTTATAACTTCCTCTTCGAGCTTTCCCTGCTGTGCAATTCTGCCTTCCTTATTATTGACCTAATCCGTCTCAGAAGTAGACACCTTAATTTGAGCACGAGCTTGCAATATGCAAGCAGGTAAAAAAAGGAAATCTTTAAGATTTATTAAGAGTAAGAAACTCGAGAAAGTAGGAGGGCAAGAGAATTACAACCGTTCCACATGCAATGGTTACGACATAATTAAGGTTCTCTTCTCGCAAGAATTAGGACAAGACGTATGTAATGGAAGACATACAGGTACGAAAGGAGTCCCAGAATGATGGCATTATATCGATTTTGTAGAATGGCTATGAAATAAATTTAACACCCAACCCACAAGTAAAACTCAAAAGGTAGGTAAATTACCTGATATTTCGAAATACGATTGAATTCTCAAGGAGGCTTTGTACGACATCGATTAATCAGCTAATTGAGCATCTGAAGTTAAAGCGACAGCAAGAATTTCAAGAGTCCAGCAGCTGTCGTCTCGAGTATCCACTCAGAAGGCAGTGTTCCAACCCGGATTCAATATCTCGACGCTTCAGAACAAAATTCCTTGGTATTGCCAAAAACAAGCCATAAAAAATGATGACCGCTATGGGATTTTCGGTGCAGAGCTATCGATCGTCCAACTTCGCGGCGCCGCCGCGGATCAACGGGACAACCTATTTTAACCCTTTATGTACCGAATATCGGAAATGCGAAGAGTTTTTTCTTCGTGATCCTTTTGTTCAGCCACTCCTTTCTGTATTCAACTAAAGAAAGCAGCACTGCTGAAAAACTAAAATGTGGGACGTGTTGCAACTCCGTAACATAAGGTGAATGCAAAAATTAAGTTTCCTTGGAGGTTGATGAGGTTGTTCCAGGTTGTTGCAGATCTGTAACGCTGGTACGTGCTGAGTTAATATTAAGATCGCCATTAATATACTAAGACGCCGAAGTTCCTGTCGATTACGCTTTTTTAGATTACCAGACTTGGGCATTACTAAAAAAAAAACTTGAGCCAGCATATTTTCTGGGCTTTACTCGCAGATGAGTAGAGTGCTAAAAATGCAAAATGAGACGAAGAGGGCAAACCTGAGTCGTGGGTGAAGAGGACGCTCTTGGCTTCTTCGATGGAGACCGTGGGTTCGTCTGCATCAAGAATCTTGCAAAGCATGAGGTCCACGATGCTGTCCATGTTGTTCTCGTTCACATCCATGAACAACACGGCCTGGTTTAAGAACTTGGTCACATCCCGAGAAGCACGGACCTCCGCCGCAAAATCCTTCATCGGGATTCGCTGAAAATTTTGAGCCACTAACGTTATTTCGCGATGCCCTCGATGGGAATTCCCAAAGGAGCCGGGTGAGAGGGGAAGAGCCGTGATCGGAGACGATCCGTTATTATTCCCTGGACCGGAAGTAGAGTTTTTCTTTCCCGAATGGGTCCGAGTAACGCCGATCATTCCGGTGTCCGAGTGAGTAGAGACGGATTCCGCAAGTGAGACCTGGGATTTCCCCTGACTCGAATTGGACGGGATTTCACCCGAGTTACTCTGCCGGCCGGCGAACTGCCACGAACCATACAGACACGGGTAAGGTAAAGTCAACGAGCACCGTCGTTTTGGAATCTGAGGTGCCTGGATCGGTTGAGGCAACTTTAACGGGGCGATGAAGGAAGACACGGCACTGGGTTCCAGGTCCAATTCCACCTGATAGGACGATCGGCGTTGAACCAGATATCGCATACTACCCGACGATCCCGACGACGAAGCGACATGGGCAGGCGGCGAACGCACACTTTCGCCTTTTCCTTTGGCACCGCTTTCCGTTGCGACGGATTTAGATTTTTGGGGAGAGAGGAGTTTACCGGTCAGGAACCGTCCGGCGAAGATCCGCGGTTCTTGGACACTAAACAGCGTACTGGTTCCCCCTTTCCCTCCGAGTAACGTGTGAGAAGTCTTGCTCCTTTTGAAGAAAGCCCGCTTTCCGGTGATTCTGGACGTGGAGGCCGTGGCGGACGCGGTCGAGAGAACCCCACCCGAAGACACCATCACCTCGGGCACTCCCGACTCACCGCTTTGCACCTTGACGGATTCCGCGGACGTGTTGGGGGTCTGAGGGATGGGATCCAACGTGGAAGGCCGCGACGCCTTCGGACCCTTCTTTTCCAACGGCTGGAGTTCCATTACGGTCGACTCGGGTCCTCGGGACATGTCTCAGGTCACCCCACGCGAATTCATTACAAGGCGAAATATAACAATATAAGAAGGCAAAAGAAGAATGGAAGAGAGGGGGGGAACGGGGGTAGCGTTCCCGGAGTATCCGAGGACCGACTGACGCCTGCAAGAGTGGTCGCGCGCTCTCTCTCTCTCTCTCCCTCCCTTCCATCTCTGTATTGATCGAAGAAGACTAAGCATTGGGTATGAAAAGAGACTTCCCAGCCCCACCCCCTCTTCATCCTCTTCGTCCGATTACGCTTCTTTCTTCGAAACACCCCTATTTCCCATCGCATTATGAATCTCTCTCATTCATTTAATTGATACGAGACGCTCTCGCATCGCACTCACTTCCGGGAAACACGTGAATGAAATATCGATAAATATCGAGCATTCCAAGCAACTATACCGCTTCGCTCAGCGATGCTTTTGGTAGTGTACGATATCCAATTATTCTTATCAACGAATAAGGCAATTATAGTATTCTACACCAATTTCGCGTATTCGAAGACAAAAAAAAACGAAGACAGTAACTGAAAAATGACATCCTGACAAGACCGGCTGAGACAGAGACACTCGAGATATTTTCTCATCGTTTCGACACTGTCCTGCGGGGATTCCCAGAACGAATCAGACAGTCAATTCAGGTTGCAGGTCATTTTCCCTCAGATTTTCCATCCAATCTAGGCCTGCGTTGCATGGAACTGAATGAACTTGGAAATTATCCTCGTCCGTTCTTGCAGAGAAATAATTTTCAACCCTCGCAATTCATGACCAATTCACGCTATGCCTTTTGATCAATTCTGAGAAAAATTCACGGAAAATCACTTCACGAGATGCTTTGAGCAGCAAATCCTCATAAGCTTGTTTTTACTTGCCGGCACGTTTTTTTCCGGAAGCCCAAAATGTCAAAGAGCGACTTTAGAAATTAAGGTCAACCCTCGATACGACACCACTGTTGGTCATCGCCGACTTTGACGCTATAACGAGGGTGTTGCTGCATCGAATTAACCACGTACTGTATTAGTATTCTTATGGGGAAATTTGTCCTCAGAAAGAGGCTGGCGAAAAGCAAGAGGGCCCCCATACCGAGTGGCAAGATAACGAGGGTTCACGAGACTCAATTTCCCTTCAATCGGATTCAAGTGAGAATCGATACACTTGTTATCGAATTCAATGCATGTGCAAACATGCATTTGAAGGGTACTTCATTCCTCACAATGGCCACTTGCGAAACGCGCCCGTAATTAATTTGAAAGCGTTGAAAGCACGATGGCATCGTAGTACCTGACAAGCAGTAGAAAATCGTCAGGTTCGACGGTCGCAACCAAAAATGGCATTTCTGCGTATCAAATTTTAAAACACTGAGACAATGAGTGAGACCATTTTCCCTTGTAAAAAGAAGTGAGGACAGATCACTAGCAGGACTGGGTAATCAAAGAATTTTCCGCATTCGAATGCCTAACGGGTGCTGAAAACCTCAATATATATTATATTCGGAACATATCTCATTCAAATAAATATCCTTGAATAAATATGGCCTTTACGAGGGGTGATGAAAACAAATTCAAAGCCCGAGGCACTTCAAGTTTCAATACACCATAATTACTTTTCCATGAGAAGACAGATGTCTTTGATGGTGACTGGCAAAATGTCATATTATTTTTCGATTAAAGATAGCTTCTACGCATTTTTCACGAATTTTCTCATCTCAAGGGAGTCGATCTCCCAGCAGAAATTTCAGCAGCTGAAATGATCGAGTCATTCTGACCCTTCTTTGGAGGATCTGCTCGGAGATCGACTTCTTAAAGGGTAGGAAATTCGTGACAGAGTTCGTCTCAATTTTAATATTCCTTTGGCAGACCGTTTGGCAGCATATTGAAGAAAAAAAATTCATAGAAGCTCTCTTTAATCGAGAAATAAGATGAAATTTTGCCAGTCACCATCAAAGACATATGTCTTCTCACGAGAAGAGCAATAATGGTGTATTTCAACTAGAAGTGCCTCAAGCTTAGAACTTTTCGATCGCTCCTCGTATACCTAGGTATGTATGAATTTTTACTTGAATATAAATGCCTTTGAATTAGCTGCAACACCCAAAAATACCATTTTTTGAGTCGATACCACGAGTAAGTGTTCTGCCTGAGGATCACTCTATTAAGGAATGCGGTGACCTTTAACCTTTCACTGCACTGTGTTCCCGATTATGAATATACTTGATTAACTTTAATATATAATGGTTGAAGACTCGATGTGAGGGATGGGGAATTCCTAGAATATGAATGATGTCTCCGGTGAGGAAGAATATTCATACTTTTTTTAATGCATGCTTGTCGCCAACTGGAAGTAAGTTGAAATTATTCGATCAGTCCATAGCAGAGAAAAGATCTTTTGTCTTTTTTGTGACAATTTCTTCATTTTTTTAAATATTGTATCTTACGTCTTTAAAAAATTTGTCCTACATATTTATCTAGTCATATATCTTCATCTTTTGTGTTCACCTTTATCTTTCTCTGACATCTTACAACTTCTACCTGTTGCAGTTTTTTCTTCAAATTTCTATTTTAGCAAAAACTCAAAATTTTAATAATAATAAAATTTCGGCTGTTTGATGCAAAATATCTTCTTCCGGTGCCTTAAAAAAAATTTCACGTTAAATTGGAATGTTTCTCTACAGTGCATTGTGCAGTAAAGGGTTAAAGACGTACGTTTCGAAGATATGACCGGGGATACAGCATAAAAAGATTTATTTGGCTATTTCAAATGAAGGGGGCGAAATCACGCAATCCTGTGTGGTTTCAATGGATAATCTGATTTAAAAAATATTCAAGAATAGATTTGAATATTCATGAAAATGCGAGTATACCCTCGTATATCTAAGACGTCATACCAGAAATTCGAATGCTGACATATGTAGTTGTAAATATGGAATTCGAATGTTCGAAAATTATTCATTGATACCCAGCCCTGGTCACGAGATTAAATCTGCCAGACTGTTGTGCAGACTGTATCCAACCGAACGTGCGGAAATCCTCCACGTCTCGCGAGCAGCATTTTTGAACAGTGTAAATGGGACAAATCAGGTTCGTTTCCTTCGGTGATCTTACCGTCGGCTGGCCATCACGTCTCGTAGCAATCTGATTCAAAGGCGAGTCACGATAAACCTTGGAAATAGCTCAAGGACTTCAGAGACGGCTTGGACTTTCCAGCGATAAGCTTCGAGATCGATGGCGTCATCCGCGATGTCGAAAGAGAAAATTTCGAAGAATCCAATGCGACAGAGCAGGGAGACGGAGAGGGAGAGAGAAAGGAGAGGGATTGTCGGCTCATTTTGTTTCGTCGGGGAAGAATGACAGCGTTGGACACCTTCCAATTTGGCATGATTCACTCTACTCTGCCGAGCCTGCGGGATCAATATTAGTCCATGGCTACTTCATGATAGGCTTCTCCTTTTTCCCCCTTCTCCTTCTTCATCGAATTATGGCATCCATGGACTCTTTCTTCTCCCTGGGCCATCCAATCACGAACGGAGTCGGAAGGAAAACTTCCCTTCTCGGCTCTCGTTCAAATACAACAAGGGGCTCATGGCGAGACTCCAGACTCCCATGCTTATCTTGGCCACTTCGAATCTCGCCTCACAATATGCAAAGCCATTTCGTATGCTTCGGAGGGAATGACATTCTGTTCGAGATGGAAGCCCGTAGGGGTAATACGATGGAAGTCTATTAAAGCTTAATTCACCCTTTTCCTCGCCGGGTATTTCAAGGCTTCCTGGAATTTCTTCCGAGGAATTTCCCCCAGGAAATATCTTCACGTCCGGAGTTGAAAAATGGAAGAGCGGATGAAGAAGTGGAGAAGAAGAGGTCTCAGGTGAATGAGATTTCTTCCCCTCTCTCTTCTCAGTAAGCCTCCACAACGAAGGAAGATCATCAAGGGGATTTCTCCTTCCAGGTCCTATTACCGAAATTGGTTCTTCTTGTCTCGTCTTTATCTGTTTGTCCCGAAGACGGACAGCCTCTTCGTCTCTCGCTCTCCCCCACCGCGTATAAGTGTCCACTTCTTTCTGGTCTTCTTCGCCTCTGTGTCGATATGGACCAGGGGTCATGGAACGGAGGACATTTTTCCCCGTCTCCGATCCCACCCACGCTCACAACGTCGAGTCCACACTTTCAATCCCATTTAAACTTTCATTTCGCTTTCTCAACCCGTGCTTTTGTCCATCCCTTCGAAGTAGAGTCTGAATGCCCCTATCGCCCATTTTTCCACATGAAGCCGGGACTTGCAAGGAACAAGAGGTCCTAGTTTCATGGTCTTTAACGAAGTATAAAGTATTATAGCAAAATATTGCTTCACTATAGATGAATTCGACGGCCTGCAGCTGCCGATGACAAGAATCCACTGCATAACTTTTCCGCATGCCTCCAGGGCGACAGAAAAAGCGTCGAAACATGCTTTCTCGGTTTTGGGAAGTGTCGGACCTGGAAAATGATCCCCGTTCCCAGGTGTCTTTCTTCCAACCCCGATCGCCTTCTCTTGAAAAATTCTCTTGGTCACATGTTTCACAAAGCTGGGAAGGGCAATGTCCGGACATTGTTTGCCTTCGCCTTTTGCTTATACGGCATATTTGCAAAATGGATCACGCAACAAAATGGAAAGAGAAGGCGATAGATTCCTAGTGGCCCGTATTTAATCCTCTTCCATTAATCATGAGTGGGATGGTAACAGGAAAAAAAAATTACCGAGTTACTTTTGCACGAGAGTTTATAATCGAGACCAGCGTGATTATACAAAAACTTGTGCATGAGTGTAAAGAAGATTAGGCGAACGAGAAATGGATTCGGAGCAGGCAAGGCGGAATATGCACAGCCTGCGATGGCGGCATTCCCAGGCCCCATGTTGGCTACGCGTGAAACGCAGGAATCTCGCAGGAATCTCACAGGAATCTCGCAGGCGCAACAAAGACTCCGACTCGACACCGTGAGAATGGCGCCAAAACT